CAAAACTGACATTAATTCCAAAAAAAATTGAATGGGGCAAATGCCCAAAAGAAACAAACAAAAACTATACACCTTTTATTTAAGATAATAAAAGAAATACAATTTATGCTTTCAAAAAGATTCCAACCCAAAAGCAAACATCAAAAGATGAGGATGAGGGGGGGGGGGGGGGGGGGGGGGGGCATTTACGTCTTTTGAACATAAGAGTGATCGAGAGCAAGTCCTGATCTCAAATTTAAAAAATTACAGTTATGTCTATTGTTCTGTTTGTTACACAAATGGGACCTGAAAGATATGTAGGTCTTTATTATTTCAATACCATTGCATCTTTTATAAATACAATTTTTTCAATTCAAATTAATATGGTAAAAGAAAAACATTTTTCTTTAACCATACTTTGAACGAAATTTTTTGTAAGATATAAAATCAAATAGATGGATTTTTATAATTTATTATTATTTTGTTATTAAAAAGGAATAACAAGTAATTGAAAAGTTTCACATTAATGTGTTGGAGTTAATGAATAAAAAATTCAAATTCGAGCTATGATAATTATTGTGAGAATGTAAGAGCATGAAAAAATCAATGATTCTAATTGATTCTTGAGCATTTAAAACCTTCTTAAAAATTAAAAATGATAACTAATTATGATTCTCATCAGAATCATTCATTATTTCGATCCGTAATTGTTCCTACATTCACACAATACTTGTGATTCTCAACATAAACAGATAGATAGATAGATAGATAGATAGATAGATAGATAGATAGATAGATTGATAGATAGATATAGATATAGATAGATATATAGATATAGATATAGATAGATATATAGATATAATAAAAACAAGTTTTAAAGTGTATGCACCTTGATGTTAAATCCGGCTTTGGCACTGGTTTCTATAAACATTACTCCAAGCTCGCGAGCTTTGGCATCTCCTTCCTCAATTGAAACCTGCCTGTGTCATCACAATCACAACATAAAAATAAAACTAGCTTTTCCATTAATCACACCAACTTCATTCAATATCAAATAATTCCCTTTTTTTTTTTTTAATATTTGCTTGAGTTAATGATAAAATGTGACCTTTTGTCAACAAGATCGGTTTTGTTGCCAACAAGGACTATAATGACCTCAGTGCCTCGTTCAGTGCGTACTTCTTCTATCCATTTTGCAGTGTTCAAGAACGACTGCCGATCTGAAAGAGAGTAACAAACAACAAATTTCTATTTCTTACAACATAATCACAAATGACTATTTTACCCAAAGTCCCAAATGACCATTTCATTTGTTTAATAATATTTTTCAGTTTAAAAATAACACGAATAGTAACTTAAATTGAATAAAGTTCAACTCAAACAATAACTCAATATATATATAAGCATAAAAATATACTCCATTACTCATAATTTTGATCGAGGAAAATAAGGCCAATTTAGGAAAACTAAATATGAAATCATGACTTAACGTTAAGTACATTCGTTTCCTAACTTAACCCATTAAGACATTTTGTTAGCATTAAGTATATATAGCTGAACTCAACCACTAACTTTTTTATCCATCAAGTCAAAAAGAAGCACTACCTTAATCTGGTAAGCTATATATCAGTGTCTGTAATTGACTTAATGCAGAAAGAACGACTTAACATATAAAGTTAGGGAAAGCTTTCCGGATTTTTTACAAAATTTTTCCTTCGTTTCTTTTATATTCCATACATTGTCAAGTCCAAGGTACAAGGTAAATAGCTTAACTTTTGAAACTTGAGGGGGTAAAGTGAAACCATTTTCACAAAGGATATATCAACAAAAGGATTAAAAAAAAAAAAAAAAAAAAAAAAAGATGTGATAAGTTGTGTGCAACATACTGGCAACATCATAGACGATTACTGCAACTGATGAATCTCTTATATAGCTTGGAATCAAACTCCTAAATCTCTCTTGACCAGCAGTATCCCTGACATGTTAGCCATTAAAGGTTATGAAAATAATATCTTGAGTAAATTACACTTTTGGTCCCTCTGTTATATGGAATCCTTTTGCCTTATTTGTTACTAATTCACTGGTTCATCACACTTCTAGCCCCTGAGTTAGATGTCGACATCGTTTAGAAATGGACACTAAAATGGGGGCAAATTGGTCATTTTACATGGGCTTAAGGGCGTATGTCTCGTCGACTAAAAGTGTTATGAACAAAAAATAGTAAAAAAAGATACCCTTTTGGACCATATCGAAAAAATAAATTGATATAGCAGTGACAAAAAGTGCAATTTACACTTATATTTTGAATTGGGTTTAATTTTTCAAAGTATAATGTCCTAATAAGATAAAATTTTGAAGTACACTGCTATAATTAGGTAGACAATGACTTAGTAAGAAAAAGATTTGAAAGGACAATGTTATAAGAGAAATAAATGATTGCAAGGTGATATAATATATATAAATAAATTGCCATTTCTTGCATTTAGCCTGTTAATATATTACTTCATCAAAGAGCCAATTGGGAAATAGAAAAAGAAACCATAACTAACATGGAAACATACCAAAGCTGTAACCGAACTGTTCTATCTTCAAGGTACATTGTTTTTGACAAGAAATCAATGCCGATTGTAGCCTGATATTTATGCAAAAGAACAACTAACTTTTAAACATTAATCTATAATAAACAGCTAATGAAATTGAAGTCATGCCTAAAATAGAAATGAGAATAAAAGACAGTCAAAACAATAATCAAATGCTTACAAACATTATACCTTTTCATTGATAATCAAGTTTTATCCATGCAAGATGAAACAAAAAGAAAGGATATAGGAACACAAACAAAAAGGATCGAAAGGGTATAGGAGAGACTTCACAGACATGATCATGTTTTGCATCAATCATGTTTAATTTATATATTGATTTGAATTAGATCTCTTTGATTCCACTTTGAATAATATTTTGGTGAGCCTAAGGTAGCAAATAGAGATGAAAGATAGCCAAGAAACAACTTTATGCAATTTATGAGCAAAAAGAAAGATGCACATAATACATACTACTAAAGCTTTTTGAACCACAAATTTATTGAGCAATCTCTAGTTCATTTAAGCTCTTCTCATCCTCAATTGATCATTTCAGCTTCAACTTGAGATTCACAAATTTGTAGTGTACATTGTGCTTCATATACTTGTACATTGATCATTGGATCAGTGTTCTTTGAATGATTGCCATCAAATTGTTGTAGTGGTTGTCTTTATCATAAAGAGTACTCTTTTAATGGATTCAAAATCTTGGGATTTCTCAAGGATTGGATGTAGGATAAAGAGGTCCTAACCACAATAGGTCTTTGTGTCTTATTTCTATCCTTTTACCCTTTACATACAACATGACTTGTTCAGTTGTGTTAAGAGTCGGAAATTATGCTGACAACTATTCACCCCCCCCCCCCCCCCCCCCCTCTTTTATACTCTTCAAGTTACGATAGATAGCCTAAAGGAGGCTAGCTTTTCTTGAAGAATTATAAGTTATTGCTGATGCACATGGTACATGCTGAAGATGCAATGAGGAACTGTTAAGCAATTAGACTACAGTTATATTGGTATGTGAAAAAACATACATATAGTCATATAGACAACTTTCGAGAACGAGAAGAACAGGTTATACCCTACTGGTATGTGCGTCTCCTATCCAATGTCAAAGCTCGCGTCTCAGCCTTATTTTATGATCAAATTACTACAAACAATCAGATTCATAAACATGATTCCGGCATTATTATATCAATTAGAGCTTACATAATAGCATACAAATACCCTGGTCAGATATCAATCTCCAACGAAACCCATATTTATATAGGATTACAACAAACAAAAATGATCAAATCAGAAATAGAAGCCGGGGAGTTTAACCTGATATGTGGTATCGAATTTGTCATACATGAATCTGGTGATGATGCTGGTTTTGCCGACGGATTGATCTCCCAAAAATACCAATTTGTATTTGGCAAGAGCTGACACCCCCGCCATTTTTAGCTGTATTCAAATTTTTCCCGATGATCAGATCTGAATCTGTGTTTGTAATTTTGGTAAAATGCAGAGAGAATACTGAAAATTCGGGAAAGAAGACGAAGAAAAGAGCGGATGTAATACTGAATTGGGTTATATATGCGAGTACGAGATGAAACCACCAACAATGCATGACACCGCAAGGTCCAAGCTTTTGAAAAGAATGATGACAATTAACAGGTTCGCACTTTTCAGTTTGGTTTAGGTTAATGTTATTAATGGAAAATTAATCTTTTAGAAATTTTAATTGAGAAAATGATAAAAATATAGGTTTTTTTTCCTTTTTTTTTTTTTTTTTTATAAAAAATAGCCAAATTTTATTATATTATCCCTAATAACCACCAAAGTTTCAAATGTGCGAAATGGAAAGATTAACATTCGAGTTCTAAGAGTATTATTAAATATTATTAGAACTAAGTAACATGTGAGCATAACAATATGGGCAACTGCACACATGGTCTAATTTTTTTTGGGCCTAATTTTCATTATTATATATATATATATATATATATATATATATATATATATATATATATATATATATATATATATATATATATATATATATATATATATATATATATATATATATATATATTAAAATTGTGTGTTCTTAACTACAGTAATTTTGACAAAATTTCCCCCTTAAATTAGCTCTTCTTGTCTTTACTTTCTTTAGTCGTTTACGATTTTGTTGTTGCATATTTCACCATATGTATTTTGTTATTTTATATTTTTTTTGTTCCTCCTCTGCTTGCTGACTCGTTATTCTATATTATACGTGTCTTTTTCCTCAGTTTTACTTTCCACGTGGTGCTCTTTTCTTTCTTCCCCTTTCTTCTTCGTTGAAACTCCACCGATTCCCCTTTTGCTCTTTTGTTCTTTTCTTCCCTATGTAATTTCTTTCGGTTATGTTTCTATTTTTTTTACATTGTACTCTCTGTTTCACGCATGTGTTCTCTCATGGCTGTTCCGGCAAAGCGGGCAGCTGTAGCTTCTTCTTCTTCCTCCGCTTCTCGGTCTCGCAGGTCTCGACATCTCGCTTTCTTTTCTAGTCTTCCTCAATATGTCGATTCTGGTGACTGCACTTGGGTTTGTGAATTCTGTGGCGCGTATTTCTGGTATGTTGAAAGGGTGGGTAAGTTTTCAAGACCTGGTCATCTGAGGTATAGTCATTGTTGTCGGGATGGGGGTGTAGTTCTTCCATATCCTCCTGCGTTTGACCACCAATTCGTTGCCCTCTATCAGAATGTAACTTTTATGAAGGACATTAGGGCATATAATAGCATGTTTTCCATGACTTCTTTTGGGGCTAATGTGTTGGATTAATGTCTAAGTCCATAACTATAATTGGTAAGACTTGACCCGACCCGGCATGGTCCATTTGGGTTGCATGGCATCATGCACTTGGATAGACTATAATGAGAGAAATAAGACACTTATGGTTATTAATATATTATAAGTTCTAGTATATTAATAATAAGAATAATAAGATTATTTAATTAGTATTGATCAAGAATTGATCTAGGATTAATTAAGTGATCAAAAGAAGACTAATTAAATATATGGGTTGATTGTGTAAATCATCCATACTTGTATAGTGGGCTAATGCTCCATGGATTATCTAGTTGGGCCAAAACCCATATGATGCTCCTTGGATGCTCCATGGTGTATTTGAACCCATGGATCCAAGGAAATGGAAAGTCATGACAATTAGGGTTTGCCCTAATTGTAACACTATATAAAGATCTTATTCTTGACCAAAATCGGCCACTAGATTATTCTAGAGAGGGCTAGCCGATTTTATGAAGTGTAGAATTCTCTCAAGTTATTCCAAGTGTATTTGGTGTTGTGTGAACCATTTGAGGTGTCACACTTGGGGCACTAGGCACTCAAGCTTCATGAAGACATTCTACATCAAAGAGGTATGTATTCTATCTTGTTATATTGATAGTTTTGTATGCTAGATTAGGATAATACCTTGGATGTTCATATTTGCATGTATAATAGAGAAAACATAGATCCAAGGTATTTAGGGTTGCATGTACACTTAGGAGTGTTAGAATGCTCAAACCCAACAGTGGTATCAGAGCCTAGGCTTGTTTTCTTGTTATACCTGCAATAGAAGCTGAAAAATCGAGTTTTGATGCTGTCAGCCCAGCTGACTCGCCGAGTCCATGAAGGGACTCGACGAGTCCAAGGCAAAATGCATCCAACTCGCCGAGTTGTGTTCATGCACTCGACGAGTTGGACCCCAGACAGCATATCTTCGAGGTTTTTGGCTAGAAATGGACTAGGAACATTACCCTAAGTTGTTTTTGAACTTATAAACTTGTTTTTAATGTGGTAATGTTCATGCTAATCCATTTTCAAAGATAATTGTCAATAGATTCATGTTTTGTATTAGTTTAAAGGTTAGACTAATTACATGAAAAAGTTTGATTTGAATTATCTTGTTCTTATGAGTTGCTTAGATTAATAGAAAAGTTGAGTGAAAAAGTTGTTTTCAATCCAAATTAATCTAAGAGTTGATTCTAAAATGTGTTTTTGTAACTTGTCCTCAAGTTATATGAAAGTCACATTTAAGTTTCATAAAACTCATAAAAGTTGGCAATGGTTACAAAAGATGAAGAGTCTTGTCCTTAAGTTATGGAGGTTCAAGAGTCACTTCATTAATAAATAAATAAATAAAATATGTAACCTTAATTAATTCCATAAGTTATAAAATAAAGAAAAGTTAATTCTTTATTAGTTTAAAGTCTTCCATAATTTGTCCACAAGTTATGGAACTTGAAGAGTTTTTGGATTAAAACTACTTTAAATACATAAGTTATGGAATTAATTAGTTTTGAATAGTTTCAAAACTTGCCCTCAAGTTTTGGAATTTGTAAAGTTTTCTCTTATGAATACTTTAATTCCAAGTTAGCCCTTAGAATTTTAAAAGTTAAAATTCAACCCTTATACTTTATAATATTATAAGTTAATAATATATATATGTATAAGAGTAAAGTCGGTCTTACCGCTAGTACGCCTCATTCACGAAGCCGGTCTATAAGGTGGGTATAAGGTTGTTGCCTATAAAATGGCAACTTAATGGGTGTCCACTCTCACCCACCGCTTGCTTGACTGGTGGAGGGTCGTTAGCCGAACGGGTTTGACATGACTATAATTCTCCCTTCATTAAAAGTATTAATGATAAATACTAAGTAACTAAACTCTTATAATACCCAATCTTAGTTACTTAGGAAAATGTGAATAAGGTGCTAATCCATGAAATTACACTTTGCACTTTGTTTAAGTCGGTTAGTGGAGCGTGTGTGGTTAACCGGCACACTAACTCGTATTTAACAAGGTAGGCAAAGGGTAACTTAATGTTTATCATAGTATCGATGGAGCGTGTGTGGTTAACCGGCACATCGATTGAGGGATAAACACTTAAGGGTACCAAGTAATTTGCATGGTTACTTCACACCTTGTTTTGTGATCCTCGGCATCCCAGTCACAAAACCTGAAGGGCACACTCGAGATTGAAACATGCCATTGAACAGTTCAATGAATCTCAAAAGATCTAGGAGTTTCAAAACCAATTAAAACCTAATAATACATTTCGTTTATCTTGGTGGAAATTGGTGAATCGTCATTCACCTACCTTCAAATTGTTTTATAGCTTGGATTACGGCATACCTCTTCTAAGTTATAAAATAGTTTGTTGGGTCCTAGCCTTAATATTTTCATATTGGGTGTCATATTAAGGACTCAAAGATCAACTATCTTGAATATCTCCCAAACATGTCTGGTTTAGACATTTATGATCTTCCCAAATCTCTTGAAACAAGCTTCCTAATGAAGATGATGTCCCATGGATATCATACTTCTTTCTCCTCCTCCAATTATTCTCCCTACCCACAAGTTCTTAAAAGTTTAAGGTCACTCAAGCCCTATTGGCAAGGCAAGGTCTAGGTGTGATCACATCTTGGAGATGTAGTCACATATTGACAAGCCGGGAGAGTTGGGTGTCAAAGTCTTGAGAAAGTTAGTGGCTCAATTACTTTCTAAGTCACATAGTGAGTTCTTTTGGAAGACCTATGAAACAGACTATGACAAGACCCTTAATGATCTTATCTATTTGCTAAGATCAACTTCCTGAAACTTTATGGACATTGACAATAGTCACACAGGAAATCCAGAAAAGCATTCTCTTCCCAATGGAAAGGGATCGACCATAGTCAACTTGGTTGACCAAATGGTAAAGAGAAAAGCTAAGTCTGTGATAGTCCCGTGTACCATTATCAAAGGGTCCATATGTTTATATTGCCAAAGTAAGGGTCATTAGTTGCGAAGCTGCCAAATTTACCTAAGGATGTTAAAGTCAATAAGATTGACTCTACTTCAGGTAAAGTCCACTCTCTAACTCTGTTAAGTTTCTATTCTGAGATTCTTGATGCATGATGTGACTGGGTCACATGGTGATGTTTTAAGAATCAAAGAAAAGTGAAGAAACTTAAAGAAAGAATATGCTGAATCTGATCGCGTAGATGGATTTCTATCGCGTAGTTTGAAGATCGGATTCTTGAGCTACTTCTTAGGAGTTATGAGATATTGCTAAGGAATAGATAACAACAAGTTTTCATATGGATTGTAAGGATAAGTTTTTCCGCATAGTTTTAAAATAAAAGAAAATTTTTTATTTTATTTATTTTAAAATATCCTTACAATGGCATTTGAGGAAAAATTGTTGCTTATATGATTCCATTAATAGCAAGAGTGGAAATATGAAATTGATTCCTTCATTTGTGGTAATGTCTAAATTTACCAAATAAGGAAAGATTCTCATCATCCAAAGTCTCAATTGGACCGGACTTGGAATCATGCAAGTTGTATAGCATGATGAATGAGAACTTTCAAGTATTGGAAAATTAAGACTAATTACTTATTCACATGGATGTGTGAGTCAAGTAATGGACTAAGGGATCGAGTACATAGTCATGTGCACTGATTAAGTCCACCACAAAAGATATGCTATTCGTCATAGTTTACTAAAGCTCAGTAAATATGATTATACTTACAAGCTTAAGTGTAACTCTGAGACATTGGAAAAGGTTCAATGCATAGCAGAGCGGATAAGAAGAATCAAATTAGGCAGAAGGATAAAAGTTTCTCAAATCTGAAAAGATGGGAGAGTACTTTAGTATCAGTTTGTGATCATCTTAATGATTAAGAAACCATATCAAAATTAGTTCTCTAAGGAAGTCTTAGTGCATTCTTATGACTAAGAAGAAGGGATCTTGAATTGTTGAAATGGTTAAATCAAGAAGATGAGTCATACTTCGTTCCAATACAAGTCTTAGAGTCATACTCCAAGATTGTAATTTGAGTGACATGTCTTAAAGAAGGTTTAAAACACTTGACAAATGTAAGAGTAAAAGTTTTCTACTCTTGTACATTTGAAATTGGTAAGTTGTGATGTTTTGGATAAAACAAAGACCAACTTCGGCCAATTGTGTGAAGTGTTTGTCTTGATTAGAATCCACACTATCTCTTGGATGTTTGACAAGGGAGTCTTATAGGTCAAGAGGACAGTGGGAGTCTTAAAGGTCTTGAAATTCTCAAGAACTAATCAAGAATAAAACCTAAAGTTCTTCACTAGCACACGACTTGAGGTTTATAACCTATCGTGTTGACATATTCTGTGCCCATTCCAGTTAAAGTTGGCTTTGCATATGAGTTCTTAGAGTTCTCAATTGTTGCACAACAACTTGGAAGCAATGGTAGGCCCTTGAGCTGCCAGGTGGCAAGAAATTAAGATTGAGTTCAGTCCATATGAGTTTGGATTTGTCATTATCCTTGTCTTGTGACTATGGTTTTGACAATTCACATGGATAAGAACACATACACCATTAAATCTAAGTGTCATAAGGTTTCTCTCCGATTCATGAAAATGATGGTGAGGAAACACTTCCACTAAGTAGATTTTAGCTAGATAGCAATTGGATATTTGCATTCTCAAAGTCGTTAGTGGAGCGTGTGTGGTTTACCGGCACACTAACTTGGACTTGTGAGAAATGGCAAAGGTCAAAACGATCAAGACTATGATTACGGCATCCCTTTTCATAGTTCTTAAAATTGTTTTGACACACCCATAAGCTATCTAAGGAAGGTGTATGTTTTTGATAAAGTCTTATCAAAACAATCTAGTATCAGAAATCTGAACTTTGGTAAGAAAGTCAATAAAGTATTGATTTCTAGAAGTCGAGCTTTCTGAGTACATGTCAAAGCTAGTGGGAGCATAAGTGTTATGCTAATAATCATCATGTTAGTGGGAGCATGAT